GTGTGCACATATCCTGAACCACTCTTGGCCAGGTTGACCCACTGCTTGGATTCTGCTCCAGGATGTGTTTAAAGCAAGGTTTTACACAGGGCTGCTAAGGAGAGTAACTTATTCCCACTGTTTAAAGCAGATACACATGGGGCTACATGGAGGTATGAGTCTGAAGTTGCTAAGGACTTGTTACATGCATTCTCTGGAGAGCAGCCTGTGCACAGCCCAAGCTAGTGGCCTTCCAGATTGGGAAGCCATTTCCTATGGTTGTCGCTTTGGTCTAAATATGTTTTACCCCTTTTAAGACTCATGTTGAAATATGATTTCTAATGTAATTGTGTTGGGATGTGGGAACTTTAAGGCATGTTTGGGCTATGAAAATGAAGCCTCCACTAGGAAGTCATGCTGTTCTAAAGGGACTGGGGTAGCTCTCTAAGGATTAAGTGCCTACCTTGCTCTCCAGGAACTGAATTAGTCACTGTCATGAAACCAGTCTGTCCCATGTGCTTTTTCTCTTCCATATCTGCCTGCTTGTCTTTCTGTCAGATTAGAATGCATCACAAGACTTCCATCAGAGATACCCACTTCACCTTGAACTTCTAGGTTCCTTACTTCTTAATTAAACTTCTTTCCTTTATAACTCACCAAGTCTCAGGCATTCTGTTACAGCAAAATATAACAAAGGAAGACTGAAGTCCCAAGGAACTTGATTATAAAACAGTAGATATGTTTATCCATTAAAAATGTTTTTTTTTAAACAATTTGCTTCTGGAGAAATAACCAAGTTGCATGCTTGTGATATAAACATTAGGACTTGAGTTCAGGATCCTAAAACCAGCATAAATTCAAGTGTGGCAGTGAGTGCCTGTGAGCCAAGTTCTGGGGGATGGCATAGGTGGTGAAAGGCAGATCCCCGAGCTGACAGGCCAGTCTCTGAATCAAGCCTCAGGTTCAGTGGAAATACCCTGTTTCAAAACTAAGGCGGAGAGCAACAGATGATGAAGATACCTGAAATGAACATCTAGCTTTTGCTCATGCATACACATACAAGCACACTCTCATGTATGCTTGTACTCTCACGACATAGTACTGACATATGCATGTCCCTGTGTGTATATGTGTGTATGTATATGCATGCACATGTGCACACACAGAGAGAAGAATGTGGTTTTTCTTGTAGGGAGGAAGTGAGAAAACCCACCAGAGGCATTTTCTTGACACACAATGAGTATAGGTTTTTATTGACTATCTATAATATTAGAAAAGTATTTTTTTGGTGTTTGGATTTTAGAAAAAGTGTCATTGTGGCTCCTTACAAATTAATTCTTAGTATAATTGGTAGAAATTTGCATTGGGAGGGTTCTTAAGATGGGAAAAATAAAATCTATTAAACTTTCATTTGTTCTAGCATTAAGATGTGAAAATATCAATTACATGGTAAAATGTTGTTCACAACAAAATGTTAGATGCTTTCATAGACAAGATACTTTTTGATAATAGACTTTGTATGTGTGTGATACCTAACAATTTTGGGTCAATTTAGCAATCCAGAAAGAACTTAGGATTTGATTTTGAATCCATGTGAGAATGACTCCTGCCAGTCTGGTTAATAAATTTAATAAATATATATAAATATATAAATTATAATATTATATATTATATATAATAAATTTAATAAATAATTATATATATTATATTATATATATTAATATATATATATATATATATATATTCTGTAATATATATATATTACAGAACCACTGCTACTCAAATTTCTTCTTTGATGATTGGCAGGATCCAGGGCTGTGCTCTTTGTGTGAGCACAGAGGTGCCATTCTGCACAGAGAGTGCAAGGTTTTCCACCATTCATTAGTAGAGTGAGCACTCAATGTTCCAGCAGGAATCACAACTAGTCTTGGGGCAAATTCTGGTAAACTGGGAATGGAATAGTCTCTTTTGCTCAACACTAGCATAACTCTTGGGTTTGGAACAACTTGTAGACATTTTCAGGTCCATGCTTAAGAAATTATGAAATTCTCTGGTTTTTGTTTATCTAATGTGATGCTCTGCTCCATGAAAAATTTCTCAGAAACCTGGGTTAGGAATTAACAGTGCTAATGTGGTGGAAAATTGGGTGACTGTATTCTTGCTTTTTTCAAGACCTCATTTGGAGGGCTTCATAGTCTTTTTTTTAAATATAAAACCTTTGTGGCAATTGTTTCCTATTTTAACACTCAGAAAGTTATGTTGGATACAACACTTTGAAGTGGAGGTTGTTTGTAGTAGATGACTGAAAATCTTGCCCTGCTTTTCAGAGAACTGAGGGGATCTATATCCTAGTCATATTTTTCTTCTTGTCCTTTCTTCCTCCTCCCCAATACCTCCCTCTCTTTTCTCTCTCTCCCTCCCTCTGTTGGTTTTTTTTTCAAGACAGGTTTTCTCTGTGTTGCTTTGCGCCTTTCCTGGAACTCACTCTGTAGCCCACGCTGGCCTCAAACTCACGGAGATCCACCTGCCTCTGCCTCCTGAGTGCTGGGATTAAAGGTGTGTGCCACCACCACCTGACTTATTTTCTTTGGGCAGTTCTTACTATGTAGCTCAGATTTTCTCAGAACTTGTGATCCTCTTGTCTCAGTCTCCCAAGGACTGACGCAGTAGGATTGTACCATCAAATCCAGTCAACAAAGATAATTTCTTAAAGCATGAGGATATGAGGGAGTGTGTTGAGGACTTAGAATGTGCAAATTCTGTCATCTGTTTTGAGCATAAAACTGTTAGCCTCTAAGAAGTAGGAAGTTGGTACAGAAACTCTCTCTCTCTCTCTCTCTCTCTCTCTCTCTCTCTCTCTCTTTCTCTCTCTCTCTCTCTCTCTCTCTGTGTGTGTGTGTGTGTTGCTCAGGATTGAATTTAGAGTCTTGTACATGCTAGGCAAGTTAAATCCCCTGTAACTCTTTTGTACAGTAATTTTAAAGTCTCAAGATACAAAGTGAATCTTCAGGTATCAGGAGCTCAGAGTATGTTGGGAGAAGGGAGACTTGACCACCAAGAGTTGATTCCATAACTGGCCTGCAGAGTAGAGTCTGCCTGAATTATTGGACCCAGAAATGAAGAAGAGAGTGTGTCAAGATAGTTAGAGCTGGGATTCTGGAGATTTTATAATGATGCAGAGAAGGTGCTTTGTAGTGCTTCCTGGAAAGGCAGCTCAGCCTCAGAGAATAGGCAAGGCTTTATTTAGTGATTCCTTCTTATGTACAGTTCCCTAAAACAAAGAAACAAGCCAGAAACCTAAACACCTCTTTTGGTTACCTCATCCTCCAATGGTCCCACTGGAAGATCTCATTTTTTCATGCCATATAGAGTAATAAGTGAAAGGAAGGGCAATTGGGCTCCCAAGAGATAATGCTAACTGTTAGGAACTTAAAACATTTTTTTAGTATCTAACTTAATTTCTTTTTCCTGTTGCTGTGATAACGCAACTCAAGGAAGACAGTAGTTATTTTAACTTCTGTTCAAGGGTACAGTCCATTATCATCTAGCATAAGGAAGTAGGAGCTTGAAGTATCTGGTAATACATCTACAACCAGGAAGCAGAAAGTGATGAATGCTTATGTTTGGCTAATTCTCTCTCTCTCTTTCTCTCTCTCTCTCTCTCTCTCTCTCTCTCTCTCTCTCTCTCTCTCTCCTCTCTCTTTAATGGAGCCCATAATTTCAGCCTAAGAAATGGTACTAACCACAGTGCACCGGGTTTTTCTGCCTTTATCAAGATAAACCCTTAAAGGCTTGTCAGAGACTTGTCTACTGTGTGAATCTAGCGTCTGTCAAAATGACAACACAATCCATCACAGTATATAAACTATTTCACTCTTAGAGTAAATCTTGAGGGTTTTTTTTTCTTTTTCATGAACAGTTTATGTTGAAATCCATTAGTACTTTATGGCAAAGACTAGAATAATATGTGATCACAAAAGGCATCTTTCTTCTGGGTACATTGTAGTTCAAAGATCACCTTCATGGTATATAGGCAGGTAACTGAGTGCTGGCTATCAATATGTTGTTAAGGGGTGGGAATCAGCTTCTTCAAGGCCAAGCTCATAATCACCCCATGTAATGTTACTTGATCTTGCTTGTTCATTCCACAGTCTGCTGGACAAGGAAAATGTGACAGTGGATTTTAAGGTCTGTGGTAGTTTGAATGTAATTGGTCTCCATAATCTCATAGGGAGTGGTACTCTTAAGAGGTGTGGCCTTGTGGAAGTAGGTGTGGCTTTGTTGGAGGAAGTGTGTAACTGGGGACAGACTTTGAAGTCTCTTTTGTTCGAGATTCCCTTAGTGTGACACAGAGACTACTTCTTGTTGTTTCATATCAAGATGTAGCCAGCACCATGCCTGCTTGCATGCCATCATGCCCCCCACAATGATGATAATGGACTGAACTGCAAGCTGCCACCTCAGTTAAATGTTTTCCTTTATAAGAGTTGCATATGGTATCTCTTCACAGCAATAGAAACTCTGACTAAGACAAGGCCCAAATGAGTGGCAGAGTCCTAAGACAGAAGGTACTTGTATTACTGAATCACCATGAGGAAGAAATCTATTCCATGATCATAACACCCAAATGGACTTTTAGAAAGAGGGAAATTCATTTCCATTATGTTAAATCACTGAGATATCAATATTTGTATGTTGTAGTTGATAGCCTAGTGACACAGTCTTAATAATAGCCAAAATTTTCAGCATGTATATAGTATTTATTCCTAGGTGGCAAATGCACTTTACTTATAACCCAATCTAGATTAAAAAGCTTGTGGGAAAGTACTCTTATTTTCTCTACTTCAAGATGGGGCACTGAAAGTATTAAATGTCTAGGATAACAGAACTTGAGACAATATAGACAGTATATAACTGTGTTGATTTAGCTACAGACTATAGCATTTTACATTCAGAGAGTTCTCTAAAATAAGATGTTTATTTTTAATTTTTATGAAACTAACTATGATTTCTTTATTCAGGAGATCATGCTAATGTTTTGGCTCATGGATGAATTTAATATCCATAAGACATTTGGGACCATGAACACAGATATAAGAAGAGAGAACCTGGCCCAGAGAAGGAGACAACAGAGTCTTGGAATGAATGAAAATAAAGGAACTAAGGCTCAAGTTTCTGAATATTCACAGAATTTCCCAACAGTGGAAAAAGTACAGTGCCCATTGTTCCCAGTGAGGCCACCAGAAATAGATAAGGAGGAGGTACTATTGCAACTCTGGCTGACCCATCACATAGCTTCATCTTTCAGAGAAGAGAAAGATACAATGAAGAGCTGGGATATTTTATTACTGTCCTAGAGGCCGGAACATTTTATTCTATTGCTCTTAAAAATGTCTAAAGTGCATCAATGCTGATGAAAGGCACATCAAGTCTTCAGTGACCTAAGGAGGGTTTCTGAAAACCCAAGGGGAGAAGAAAATCTGTCCTCTTTCCCTGCCAAGCAGACAGGGACATGAAGAATCCTCTATTGATGGCTCCTTGTCCTAAGATGACAATGAACAGCTGTTGCTGCTATCAAGTGCTTTGGAGGTGCTCCTCAGGGCAATAATCAAGGCCTAGAAGTTCCAATTTTTACATTGTTTCATGAGAAGCAGCTGGCTTCAGACCCAAAGGGACAAACAGAAACCTTGATAACTGTCTGGGTGTTGATAAGTGGGTTATAGAAATGGCCCATTATTACCACAACACAAAAAAGAATCCTCAGTGCCAATCCCCAAATTCCTCATTCCAGTAATTCAGATATAGGCTCTGCAAGACTTGAGATGCAGTATTTAAGTTCCTTTCTTTCAATAAATGTGCTCTGGAGTACATTTATAAATAAATTGTGCTTATTTACTTAGATTTCCCTGAGAACTTGATTCGTGAGCACTAACAGTTTAGAGGAACTTGGGTTGATACTGTTGGTCATTGGTAATGCTAGAGAGTAGTGGTTACAATGATGATATGTGTTTCTCTTGAAGCTATCAATTTTGCAAAGAAGATATTTACACAACTCATAAAACGGAAAATAACAAATTGAGAAATGAGAAGGTGCTGAGTATGAATATGTCCTAAGGTACTTATTCTTCCTTTAGGCAAAATAGATAGGGATGTGGGAGAGTGAGGATAAATATCAGGAGGTTACCCATAGTGCATTGTCTCCAAACCCTACCTAGCAGTAGTACATGGACCTAGTAACCTGGTACCTCGTAAATAGATTTAACTTAGGCACACCAGGTTTCCCCTTGAGAAGTTTCCATATGTATTTTTGCATCAATCCTTTAACTAAGGAATTTTCACTCCCTTACATTAAGTATGAGTGCAGTTCTGTGATTGACAACAAACTTCCTAGGTAGACATTCTGCTTTGGGAAGGATTACTGGGGAAGAAATATGCTTTCTGGCATTTCAAGGAGGCTTCTCTGTGTGAGTTATTGCTGAGGGCTCCACAGCCGCCGGGTTTGTTTACATCATCCCTGCACTACAGTGCGGAATTCATTGTTTGTAAAGCTCTTTGGGATAATTTGTATATGAAGGATTCTATATAAAAATCAGTATTTATTCCTTTTTGTATTATGCTTTTTCAGCCTGACACATAAGGGTGCTTTTATATGCGGTAAGTAAGAAGTTAAGCACTCAACTCCTATTAACAGCACTAGGAACTGGCTTCCAGCGTTCTATCTGGGGCAATGGGAAAGGACTCACAGGTGTGCAGGTAAATTGAAACAAAGACAGGGGAGAGCTCAAGTACTTATTCAGCTGCTGTAAGTTTTATGTGCAGACAAGCTATAAAGAATGTGGGGAAATTTTACTGATTGTTGAAGCTTGAATTACTCTGGCTTATCTGTGGGTGTTATTATATACAGAATGTGTGTGTGTACAAATAATAAAATGTCCATTATCAACATCATGTTATATGATAATTTCAATTAAATAGCATAATTTGATTCATTGATGAAATTATACTAATATCTACCATACACTTGAAATACTGAACAATCCTGTAACCCTTTAGAATCTAAAGAAAGAGATTAAACTGAGGTTTATTGGGATTTTGTATTATTTTTCTTTTTTATTCTTAGAGCAGGAATGGTTGAACTAATAGTTGTAGTGACCTGCTAAATCACAAGTTTACAAACTATGTTTTTATTAGTTTAAAAATTATAATACAGAGTAATGGTTTTCGTGATGGTATTTTCTTACATACTTTTTGTTGATCCTCTTACCTCCCATCTTTTCGCCAGTCCTCTGCCCCTTTGTTATGGTCCCCATCCTTATTTTATTGATCATCCTTCCCCCACATCACCTGTGTTTTGTTACTCTCTTTTATCTTTCCTTTTCTCCCTCCCAAGTCTTCACTTTCTCCCCACTATTCTCATGTTCTCCTTTCTAGTTTCACAAACTATATACAAACATGAAAATTTAAATGTAGGAGTCTTATCTAGAGGAAACATGCAGTATTTGATTTTCTAAATCTGGAGAATAAGCTTAAGATTACAATTTCCAGTCTATCCATTTTCTGCAAATATCATGATGTAATTTTTTGTTATAAATGAGTACAATTCTATTATGCATATATACCATATTTTTGTTATCCATTCTTCTGTGGATGGACATCTAGGCTGGTTCCATTATAAATTATGAAACAAAAAAATATGAATGTACAAATATCTCTGATAAGACTTAGAGTCCTTTGGATAGATACTCAGGAGTGTTGTAGTTGTATGATATGGTAGTTTAATTTTTATCTTATTGAGAAGCTTCCATACCAGTTCCCATGGTATCTGTATATGTTTACCTTCTTACCAACACTGAATAAAGTCTCCTCTTACCATGTATCCTCATCATGTTTTTTTTTCTTCATGTTATCTATTCTAATTTGGGTGAAATGGCCCTTCAAAGTAGTTTTAATCCATTAAAGAATATTTTGAGGAAGGGCGATGGTGAATGACACTCATTCCTCAACTACTAGAATCTCCAGGAGTAATTTAGAAACAGTTGAGAGAATCCAACTTCCAAAGTGGGTGGTGATGAAAAGGCATGGACTTTTTAGCAGTAAGAGAGAGGAGAGAGAGCTCACCCCCCAAATCATGAGTGCTTAGTTTTGAATTGTAAGTGCAATTGAAGAGGGCAGGAACCAAAGCTAAAGCTAAAGAAAGCTTCAGAAAATATGCACTGTTCATTCATTTCCTGAACAATTGGAGAGCAGTTGAGTGAAGAGAGGGAGGCAGAGAGAGGAGGGAGAGAGAGATAGCCAGTTAGCACCAGAGATAAAAGTGAAGACAGAGACTCTGAAAATAGAACCAACTCTGGATTCGTTGCTGAGTAGATTTACAGTTTAGTCAGATAGGCATCCTGAGGGTCTATAACACACAAGTGCTAGGGAAATCCTCTTTTGTCCGAGTTTTATTCACTAGGGCAGTGGCTCAAAGCTGTTGTGAAAAGGACCTCACTGAGTTGGCAGATAGGAGAACCTAGAGACAAAGGTTCCTGTTTGCACTGACTGACAGTCTGTGAACCCAGGGAAAATGCCTGGCAGTTATATTCAGAGCTGGCCAGCAGAATCTGGCTAGCTAGAGGGGAAAATTATGAGTCAGGACCATGGATAGCTCCAGCAGCGGTCACCTGGTCTGGGCCATGAGTGACTCTCACTCCCCATCCTGGTATTAGAATGCTGGCCACTGGAGGAGGGAAGAGCAACCACAAGTATATATACAAGAACAGTTGTTAGAACCACTTTGCCCTACCACAAGCCTAGAGAATTGAAGGTACCAAAGTCTTAGACCCAAGAGCAGACAGCTTCTCCTCTGCTCCATCCAGTCTCTAAAGATAGAAAGACCATCTTAAATACAAACCTGTACTGCTCAGCCCATAAACGCACCCTTTTGTTTTGGAGAGAACATCACAAAGATTACCAACGGGAGTGAAATATCACAAAGGTTTGGTCTTATTCTCATTGGGAGACTTGAACCCCAGTAGCCAAGGGAAGGAAAGCCAGACAACACAGAGACAGGTTCTGCTCTCCCACATATGGAGTGACAACCTCAGGAGATATAAACCCAGCTTTCCTTATTCTCATTCTGTGAGTGTGCTATTATCGTTGCTAGCTTTATTTTCAATTAAAATTATTTCTATTTTATTTCATCTTTGCCCCTTTTCTCAGATCATAGAACATTTACAAAGTGTTTAAGTCAGATAGCTTCAATCAGAGAGAGCAGTTCAAGTACTTACTTCTATAATTCTCTTTGTTAATATTTAATCTTATGGCCTAGCTTGGTCTGCTCCCCCTCTGTCTTTGTTTCTGTCTCTGCCCCCCTTCCCTGTCCTCTGTCTTTCCACCCCACTCTGTCTCCCAACAGAGCATAGGTTGGGCTGGTGCTAGGGAAGAACTTCTCTCTGTCTGACTTCCCCAAGTTTCAGTTTGCCTGATCACATTTCTTTTTTTTCTCTTTCTCTTCCCTCTATACCTTTAGCTAGGCCTGTCTTCTCTCTTCTTCTTTACTGTTCCCCTTTATATCTATCTTTCCTTCTTCTATTTTACTACATTGCTGTATACTTATCACTAGTCTTACTCTCTTTTTTATATCGTTACACCCATTAACCAATATCTTTGTATGTGCTGTACTATCCTTTTTTCTTTATTCTTAAAAATTATTGAAATTGAAGGAGTGCTTGTCTTAAAATTTCTATTTATGTGTTTTTAATTCAGGTTTTAACTATCAACGTAGTTAACTTTGTACTGAATTTTCTATTCTTAAAGTGATTATTAAGGATTGTGCTTGATACTTTGAGAATGTAACCTTACAGTTTAGCTACCGAGCAATCCCCATGGTCTAGTTGGGGAGAAAATACATCTCAACCACAGAACATCTGAGTCTCACCTGAATATTGCAAAAGCAACTGAAAGAATGTAGACAATACATAAAATTAAACCAGTGATCCAGTATCAGATATACAAGTCCCAAAGAGGAAACAAAAGAACATGAAAAAAATCAGAGGAACATGACTCTTCCTGAAGTTAACAATTCTGTATTAATGGATTCCAATGAGGGTGAAGTAGGTGAAGTCAATGAAATCCCCAACAAATAATTCAAAAGGAAAAAAAATGATTTCAAGAGTGTTCAGTGAAGTCAAGGAGGACAGAAATAAACTCCTGTGTGACTTCAGAGAGCATACAATAAATAGCCGAATGATGTAAGGAAGAAAGCATAGGAAGGGCAAATCCAAAAAGGAGAGAACAAGACGCAAAAGATCAATTGAAGCTTTGGAAATAGGAAGCTCAATAAATGGAATAAGAAATCTGATGGGAAGCCTGAGAGATCAGATCAAATGAAAGACAGAATATCAGGGATTAAAACAAATGTAGAAACCAGGCGGTGGTGGTGCATGCCTTTAATCCCAGCACTTGGGAGGCAGAGGCAGGTGGATTTCTGTGAGTTTGAGGCCAGCCTGATCTACAAAGCAAGTTCCAGGACAGCCAGAGCTGTTACACAGAGAAACTCTGTTTCTAAAACAAACAAACGAACACACAATGTAGATGAGTTGACCATTTATAAAATAATACAAAACAATAGGGAAGTATAGAAAGAGCACGCAAGATCTCTGGGACATCATTTAAATTCGCACCATATTATGAATATGAAGAAGGAGAGGCCCCAGATAAAGGAATAGAAAAAACTCAATAAAATAATAGAAAACTTCCAAACCTAGCGGAGGAGTTAGCTGTCCAGACCCAGGACATACTTAAACCATCAAGCAGATAAGATTAGAAGATACTCCTTTTGTGTCGTATTACTGTGAAAACACTAAGCCTGCCAAACCAAGTTATAACACTGAAAGCTGTAACAGAGAATTGTCATGTTAACATAAAAGCAAACCCATTGGAATAACAGAAGATTTCACACCAGAAATTTAAAGTCAGGAAGGCTTGTAGTTATGTATTTCAAGCCATGAAAGATACTAACTGCCATCACAGATTAAATTACTCAGAAAAGTTACCCTTTAAACTGAAGGAGAAAAATGAGCCTTCCATGCTAAATACAAACTAAAGGAATTCATGATCACTAAGCCAGCAGTACAGATTTGAAGAAATCCTACACATTGAGAGAGAAAAAAAATGAATATATCTAAGAGGTCATGGAAAAGACCAAGCTGCATCACAACAGTAAATAAGCATGTGAGGACTAGGAGTACACCAAAATTAGAAAACCACAGGAGGCCTTTCAATATTAATGCTGAATGCTAATGGTCCCAATTCTCCCATAAAAAGACAGACTAATAGATTGGTAGGAGGAAAGGGGAAAATGATGTAATTATACTTTAATCTAAAAAATAACAGAAATAATATAAACTATAGTCAAAATGTGAAGATACCAAAGTAATTCAATTTTACATTTTAAAATGGTGTAGCCTATTATATATCAAACATGTCTCAATAATGATGTTTGGACACCCTCATATTCAACCCAATAAACCAGGTGAGATGATGGCTCAGTGATTAAAGGCATTGGCTGTTCTTTCAGAGAACCCTGGTTCAATTCTCAGCACACACAGGGTGGCTTGAAGTCATCTGTAACTCCAGTTACTGGGGATCTTATGCCCTCTTCTGGACTCCTTAGATACTGTATGCACATGACTCACAGACATATATACAGGCATATATACTTATACACAACAATTTTCAGAAAATTAAGAAAAAAATTCTTTAGGACCTATATATCTGTTGCTCTTAAGAAACAAATCTCTGTTTTGAAGAAAAATCTAGCCTTACAGTAAAAGGATGAAAAATTTATCCAAAGAATATGGAACTGGAAAGCAACCAATAGTAGGTATACTAATATCTAACAAAGCAGACTTCAAACCAAAATGAATCAGAAAAAGATCATTTCACACTGATTAAGGGAATAGTATTTTAAGAAGACATAAAAATTCTAAACATATACACACTGATTCATATACAACCAATTTTATTAAAACTCTGAGGACGTAAAGGCACAACCTGACTTTCACACAGCAATAGTGGGTAATTTAATTGCTCCACTCTCATTAATAAACAGTTTATTTAGAGCAAAGCACTAGCAGGAAAACAACACAGATAACTGATAGGATAAACCGAGTCATTTTCACTCTCCAATTGCTGAAGAATACATTCTTCTCAGTAGACAATGGAACTTAATCTAAAATATTGCATATTGTAGGATGTAAAGCAATCCTTAACAAATATAAGAAAATTCAACAACTTTTCACACTCTATTTGTTCATAAGAAATAACAGCAAATGAAACTCCTAAAAATACACAAACTCATGGAGATTGAACAATATACTATTGAATGACCAATAATAGGTCTTAGAAAAAAATCAAGCTGTAAACAAAAAAGTTCCTATAATCAAATAAAAATGAAAACACAACATAGATACTGTGGGGTACAATGAACGCAGTTCTGATAGGAAAGCATATAGCTATAAGTTCTTATATTAAAAAATTAAAGAGATCTTAAAATACATAACTTAATGATGCACCTTAAGGTCTTAGACAGATAAAACAAAACTCAGAATCAAGGGGAGGGGGCAGGAAGGGAGAGAACAAGGGAATCTGTGGCTATTATGTAGAACTCAATAGTATTGTAAAATAAAATTTAAAAAAATTTCCCTGTTATTAACTTTGGCTTCATATTACACTGATAATATAAAATGTTTTTACTTTTATTTTATAAAATTTATTTGTGAATAAATCATGACTATATAAAAAAGAAATAAATAGAAATAAACCCAGAAAAAAAACCTCAGAATCATTAGATGGAAAGCAGTAATAAAAATCAGCGTAGA